ACCCCAGTGACCCTCTCTCAATCTGGGGATCTGGGTGGCTAGAGTCCCAGGAGCTGAGGGCATAGAAGAGGATTTCCAACAGACCCTGAGAAAGCCTTAGAATGACACTTGAAACACAGAAATATAGGAAAATGACAAAATGAAAGACCAAATTACAATCTCAAACCTCCAGCCCATCCCAAGAAACCTTAGGAGCTATGTACATAGACCACACACCTGAAATATCGGACATAATAGCAACTGAAATAAAGAAGCAACTCCAGGAAGCTTTAAAGGAATTCAAACTAGAAATAATCTCCCAGGTAAAAGAAGAAATGATAAAAGAAATGAAGGAGATGCTGAACATATCTAAAGAAGACACAGTTAAAAAATTGGAGGAACTAAACAAAAAGATAGAATCCCTGGATGGACAATATAAGAAACAAACAGAATACATAAAGCAGATGCAAAGAGATATACAAGAAGTCAAAAATTCCATTGAAAGTTGTAAAAAAGGCCTCAATGAAAGTGAAGATAGGATTTCAGACCTCAAAGACAAGATTGCAGCTAGTGAACAGGAAAGAAAAGATCTTTTAAAAATAACAAGGAATCAGGAAATAACAAGTCAACAACTGAAAGATGCTGCAAAGAAAAACAACATAAGATTGATAGGGATAAATGAAAAAGAAGGGGACAACATAAAGGATGTCAAGAGAAATGCAAATTAAAACCACACTGAGATTTCATCTCACTCCTGAAAGAATGGCCAGGATCAAGAAAACTATCAACAACAAATGCTGGAGAGGCTGTGGGGGAAAAGGAACTCTCCTACACTGTTAGTGGGAGTGTAGACTGGTGCAACCATTGTGGAGGTCAGTCTGGAGATTTCTCAAAAAGCTGAGATTGGAAGTCCCATTTGTTCCAGCTATTCCACTTCTAGGCATATTCCCAGAAGAACTGAAAGCATCATACCACAGTGATATATGTGCACCCATGTTTATAGCAGCACAATTTGTGATAGCCAGATCTTGGAAACAACCTAATTATCCATCAACTGAGGAATGGATAAAAAAGATGTTGTATTTTTATACAATGGAGTACTACTCAGCTATAAAGAATGCTCACATTGAGATATTTACAAATAAATGGGCACAGCTTGAGACCATACTCATAAGTAAAATAAATCAAACTCACATGTATGAATATCAAATAGTTTCCCTAGTGTAAGAAATGATATAAATACATAAAAGTATGTGGTAATCATGATTCCCCATCATATTGCTTTGAAGCCTTATAATGTTTTCACTCATTAAGTGGAATGGTTTTATTCTGGGTTGTTTGATTTTATTGTCTGTGATGGTATGAACAGCTATTTTGAAAAAAACAAGACATCATAACAGGTAGTGCTGATTTAATATCATCTTGTTTTGAAGTCCCAAGCTTTGTTCTTCTGTCTCCATTGGTTTTATCATGTTGTATCTTATTGGATTTTATTATATGTGATAGTATAAGCAAAATTTTTATAGGCAAAGAGATAATATAGAAACATTGTTCGTTTTCTGTTAGCTAGTCCTAAATACCCTGTAATACTTTCATCCTCTTGAATGACTTCACACTGTCTTGATATGTTTGATGCTATAGTATATGAAGTTGTACTCAAATATTTCAAGGAAAGAGACCTATGGTAACTACTATTATGTCGGGTTATCTTGTGGTGAAACACTATGTTGCTTAAATTGTTCTGTTCTGACCTGTGTTGTTATGTCCTCTTTTATATCAATCTCCCCCTTTTTTAACTTATTATTTTTTTAATTAAGGGAAAAAATCAGCAGGATATATTATAGTAACTTTTTTGATTTCCTATTGACTTGATTTGAAGCCCTGTGTTGCTCTCACCATCTTGTTTTGACTGATTTTACTCTATTCTGTTTTGTTTGATGGTATCAAGTTTGAGGGTATAGGCAACTACTTTGAAGGCAATAAGATTCACTATGATGCCCATTCTGGTTTGACTATTATCTTCTTTTGAAGTCCTGTAATGTCTCCAATGTTTCGGTTTTATTGGTTTTGTTCTGTACTGTTTTGTTCAATTTTATTATACCTGATTGTCATGGTTTATGTCTGTGCCCCCCAGGCCTCATGAGTTTGCATTGTGTATTTGTGATTGGTTCATTGTCTAGTGCTTGGAACTATGCTGTCAGTTCTACACCCACCTAGGGGTGGAGCCAGGATGTGATGTAATGGCAGGAAGAAGGTGTGTCTTTCTCTTTGCTGGTTTGAGCTTGCTGTTTGCAGCCGCCATGAAAGGTGGGCCAGCCATGCCCACCTGCCTGGGAGCCAACTGAGTGTGGACTGAAACCTCCAAAAACTGTAAGAAATGAACCTTTCCTTTCCCAACTTGGGCTTCAGGTATTTTGTCTCAGCGACAAGTAAAAAATAACTAAGACACTGGTGATATAGGCAATTCTTTTTTAGGTAGCAAGAGGCATTATGGTAACCATTGGATCACCTTGTATTCTGTTTTTACATCATGTACTATGTCCATCCTTTTGATTTGCCTGACTCTGCTTTGTTTTGTCACATTTGGTTTTATTCTCTTCCAAAAAAAAGTAATAAGAACTGCGGGAGTAATAAAACCCAAAATGTGTAAATGTTATTGTAAAAAAGAGAGGAAAAGAAAGTGCTCTAAAGGACACAACTGCAAGTGTGTTTAGGTGTGTAAGATAGATGACCATATTGCTAAGTTTTTGTTGGATCACTGAACACAACTGTTTGCAGTCTCACTGTTTGAATGTCCACTTTGTATGCTTTAATCCTGTAACTTGAACAACTATTTCTAAGATGACAATATGTAATCTATTAACTAGTGATTTCTTACTGTTTATTTTTTTGAAATTCTGTATTACTTGTATCCTTTTACTGTTTTGTTTTCTCGTTAAATAAAATTTTTTAAAAAGTCCTCCTCCTCGATAAAGCACCCCGGAAACGCTGAATATTAGAGAACTCTGATCTAACAGCAGGAAGTTTCATTGCAGCTTCTTTGTGGACTAACTACGGCGTCCTGGAGCACACCTGCCGTTTTCTCATCGAGCCACCAGAGGGCACTGTGTGACTGCTGATAACCACAACACTGTCCCTCTCCCTCACACAGCTTTACAAGCAAGCTACCTGCAGACCATGTGTTAATAACCTTAGAAAATTAAAAAAAAAAAAAAAAAAAAAAAAAAAAAATTTAAAAAGCCAGCTACCAGCAGCGAGGCTGGGAAATAGAAGAAAACTTTCTTCGGGTTTTCGGAATTGCAATTCGTAAGGCACACATGCGAGAAAAACGAACAGTGTGTACCGAAGAGAGAACAAAGGGCTTGAGTTAAAGAAAGCAAAAGCTGGCCACAGTCCACAGCACATTTGTCAGAGAGGGTCACAGCCACGCTGGCTCGGTCACAGCTCTGGGGCAACCTGCCGGCGACCTTCAGGCTCCTCCAGTACGCTCTCTCTGGCCACAGTGACTCCATCTTAGGTAGAATTTTCCAAGACTTCACAAGAGAAGTATCTATTTGCTATCACCCTCCAATTTTATTTGAAAAGTAAAATTTTCCTACAAGAAACAACATAAGGCTGTGCACCGCCTGGAAACGGTTTCTTGTTACAGATGCAGAGATGAAAAATTATGAAGGAACGTGAATCTCAACAAGATGCAAAAATATTAACTTCAAATGGATTTTTTAAAAAAGAAAGAAAAAACAGCCAGAACATTTAGAATAAAATATAGAGGCAAATCTTCATGACTTGACTTTAGACATGTTTTTAGTTGGTTAAACATGTCATGAAAAACAGTAAAAGGAGATGGGAGGGGAAAAAGATAAATTGGGTATCATCAGAATTGTCTCAATCAAAAACAAGAAAAAACTAAGAAGTATATTTTTAAATGTTTATTTTTAAAAACCAGAAGTACATAAATCTAAGAAATACATTAAAAAGACTGAAAAAAAGAAAAGAAATTAAAAGTCAAGTAAAAGAAGAATTTTGTAACTAATACTTGAGGAACAGCTGATTTCCTAGTGAAAACAGATATTAAATAAATTCTAAAATAGGAAAACATAAGTAGATCAATCAGGATAGAACAGCTTAAAGATTTCCCGCTGGAAAAGACTCACATGGATCATCCGGGTTCCTAGCAGAGCATAAAATGACCTTCAGCACACTCTAAAATGGTCATTTTAGAAAAAACCAAAGAGGTGATTGTCTTCACTTTATGGTTTAACAAAAAAGCCTGATAGTATCTTTCGTCTAACACAGGATGTCAGTATTTGTAAAAACAGACATTTTATGTGCAAATACACAATCAACTAAGTGGTGACTTTCTCCACAAAAGAAAAATGTCGCTGGTGAGTTCATTTCCCTGAAAGATGTAGAATACACTTACAGTAAATCTTACTTTTTGGTATGAATAATATATTTAAATTTAGATAACACAAGTTTTAACTTTCCTACTTTTCGATTTTGCGACATTGTTTCAACCACCGTACAATCACGATGGGCTCAGGCGGGTTAATAAGAGTTGGGGGCGCCTGTGCCCCGCCCCCACCAGCGCGGCACTGCGCCCCGCCCAGACCGACCTGCAGGTCTGCGTTTTCTCCTTTCTCCTCACTGTGATTTCTCCCCAGAAACAAATCTGTATTTGAAGGGGAAGAGACAACTTCGGTATGCTACGATGAGGAGCAGTCACAGTCTCACTTACGGGGACTTTCGTGAAAGTCTTGCCAAAATGTGGGGGATGGTTGGAGCATACATAAAGTTCTCTTTAGACGGGAAGCTCTTCCTCTCCACCCCTCTACTGGGGACTGAAGTCTGCCTTCCCACTGATCTACTTCCCCAGCCCCTGTCTCAGCTTTTAATTGAGACTGAATCTCACTAGGTCACTAAGTTTCACAGGCAGGGCTCGAACCTGCAATTCTCCTGCTTCAGCCTTGCAGAGTGCTGGGATCACAAGCGTGCGCCACCACGCCAGGCTTTTTACTCACCCCCAGGTGTCCCAAAATCGCAGTGGCGCGTCTCCAAGTCAAGCCTTGAGAGAACGCTCTGGTCCTCCAGGTGGACATGGCCCAAATGGCAGTGGGCAGGGCGCAGGAGGCTCCAGGTGCGGGGGAAGCAGGTGTGCGCGCACCGGCTCCTGCTCCTGGCACGGCGCGAGAGGCTCTGTTTAGTGGTGCTCGCGCGCCCCCTGGCGGCAGTCTGGGTGAATCGATATTCTTACTATCCCCAGACCATACTTCTGTGAATTCCAAGTGAAATACAATCCTCCTTCCTATTCCTGCATCCAAATGGCCAAAGACAGAAAGCAAAATAGTCAATAGACAAAAAATCAGGTTTTTTCTATAGGTCATCAGTATGTGACTAACTGGAATTTGAAATGAAAAAAAAATTCCATTTACAATAGGACCCCAAAGATTTAAGTCCTAGCTATAAATCCAACAAAATATGCGCAAATATGCATTCAGAAAATCTTGAAGTGAGGTTGAATCAATAGAAATATAAATAACTGTAAATACTCTTTGATCAAAAACAATATAACTCATCCTACATATTCAGCACAATCCCAATCAAACATTATAGACACCACAAACCTGAAGAACAAGGATGTCAAAGAAAGTAGCCAGATCCAAACACTTATAATTCAGTTGCAAGGATGAAGAAAATGTGGTACTGGGGAAGAAATAGACGAATGGAAGAGAGGAAAGAGCCCCAAATAAATCTATGTAAATGATCCTGTCTGTCCTGCTGATATTGCTAACAGGACAATTTGAAGGAGAGAGAAATATCTGTTCCACAAATGGCAATAGAACAATTAAAAGCCGTACGGGGAAAACTGAACATCGGAACAGAAGTTAGGGCTAACCCAAAAAAAATTCTCTTAAAATATTCCATAGACTTATTTCAAAAGAAAAATTGTAAATATTATAGAAAAATAAAGTACAGAAGAAAATATACATGGCCTTGAGTTTGGTGGTGAGTTTGTAGATACAATACCAAAAGCCATTGGCTGCCATGGGAAAAAAAATAATGTTGACTTTATTTAAAGATAATATGTCTCCTGTGTATACAATCCTGTTGAGTAAGTAAAAATTAACATTGGGAAAAATATTTGGAAAACATTTGAAAAGGACTTGTATGCCAATATACTAATAAACTCCAAAATGCAGTAAGGCAAGAAAACACAGTTAAAAATGAGTAAGCAGCTGGGAGTATAGCTTAAAGATAAAGAGGGTACTTAGCACACACAAGGCCACAGGTTTGATCCCCAGAGCCACTCAAAAAAGAGTAACAATCTGAATATACACCTCAACAATGATGATATACAGAAGACCAATCAGCATACAGAAGACTGCATAACATTATCGCGTCATGAAGGAAAAGCCAATTACAGTGAGATAACACTGTATATCTATGAAAATAGTTAAAATACAAAGCAAAATAATGTAATAAAATTGCAGTAGAAATCCACTGCTGGTGTTAGGACACGAAGGAGACACACGCATATCCATACTTATTTTGGCAGTATTTACAATAACTAAGATACAGAATCAGCCCAAGTGCCTGTCAGCACATCAGTGGATGAAGAAAATATGTTAAATAATACTCGATATCTTATTATATAGGCATAAAAAAACAATGAACTGGTGTGGTGGCACAGGCCTACAATGCCAGTTTCTTGGAAGCCTGAGACAAAGTCAAGGCAAGCTTGCACAGCTAAGCAAGACCCTCTTTCAGAATAATTTCTTTTTTCTTTTTAAGAGCTGGCTTTGTAGTTGAGTAGTAGAATTTACATGGAGTGAACCCAGGTTCAATTTCCAAAACTGTTAAAAAGAGAGATAGAAGGAAAAAAGAAAAGAAGAATGAAATCTTGTCATTTTCAGAAAAATGAATAAAACTGGAAGGCACCACGTTAAAGAAATAAGCCAGACAGAGGAAGGCAGCATCACGTGTTTTATCGCAGATGCGGGAGATAAAAGAGTAAGAGAGAGAGAGAGAGAGAACCTGAGAGAGGAAGAGCAGTTACTAAAGAGGGAAGGACGTGGAAACAGAGAAATAAGGGAGAGGCTGGAGGAAAGGTGGATGGGCCTGATCGACAACCCACGTATGCGTGTGTGGAAATCTCATGCTGAACCCCATTAATATGTACAACTAATGTGCATTAACAGTTGTAATGAAAATAAACTGAAAGAAAAAATATAATAAGATAACACTTCACACTCATTAGAATGGCTAACACACAAATAAAAATTAAAACAAACAAGGGTTGGCAAAGAAATTACAAAATATGTCTTTACTAGGTTTGATCAAAAATATGGTGAATGCTAGCGCTGAGTATCATCTAATAGAAATGTAGATTTATAAAGATTTATGGAGGGGCTGGGGATTTAGCTCAGCAGCATAAGCACCTGCCTTGCAAGCAGGCAGTGGTGAGTTCGATCCCCGGTACTGATTTTTAAAAAAAAAGATTTATGGTATGTCTTCATATACAAGAATGTGGCACCATGTGACTTCTGACTCTTCTCCAAAATCGAAATGACCATGAAAGATAAACATTTTGAATTGATTCAGGACATTGAGGAAGCATAACAATGCAATTCAAGGCACTCGTAGCAGAAGATTCCAGAACCGCCTCATAAAATGACAGGAATGATTGGCTAAGTACGTTCAAACTGAGGGGAGTGTTTGTGGTGATTTAATGGCCATGTCCCTTTTATTATCATTAAATTTTAAAATTTAAATATTTGCTGTACTCTTTGATCACACCTCATCATATTCATACCATAGAATAATAGTCACAAAAAGTATTGAGGTATTCATGCATGTAGAGGAACCTCAACAACACCGCACAGAAAGAGCTCAGCCACACAGAAAATCAGACACATGCTCCAGCCACGCCGTCCACCCAGCTCCCAGACCCACTGTGCACATCACCATTCCACACCCGGTCATCTTCCCATTGACGCCTTCACAGCTGCCAGGTAACCAGATAGTCCCTGGACACATCCACACCGTGTCCTCAAGTCTGCAGGCAGGCAAGGTTGCCTCATATTAAAAAGAAGAAATCAGCATCATCTGGTCCTCACAAAAGCAGACATTTTTCTCAGTGACTCTACACATGCAGAAAGAAGTCGAGGCCCAGCGACTCCGATTAGAGCTGAGGAAGTCCACGTGACTCACCTGCAATGGTTACCATGCTTTCAGAGTCCAGAAGCTCTTCCTACAGAAAAATAGGTCCGAGAAACAGCGGGGGAAGCTTGGAGTGGACAAGGAATGAAAAAGGGGAGATTTGCTCACAAATCAGGGGATCAACCTCTAGGGGTTGAGGAGTTACAGATGTAGAACAGAAATAATGAGGAAAAGTGTACGCTAATTAAGAGGAGGAATATTCATGTGTTTTCTGGGAATGAGTAGAGATCATTCAGGAGCTCAACGCTCACCTTTTTTCACCCTTTTCATGATGTGATGCTTCTGGGCAGCTAGAGGTGTCCTTAGCCTTAAAGGGAAAAAAAGCCCGGACAAGTCTAGATCAGGTGAACCTTATACTATAGTTCTGGACAAAACACTTCGCACATGATCCTCATGTCTACCTGCAGTGCTGAGTAGAATTTGACTCAAATGTTAAGGTAGCAAACAGGACAGACAGGATATCAAGGCAGAGATAACACAACTTTTATCCCAATCCAGCCACCATGGCACATTATAGGCTTAAGAGAAGAATCAAGTGTTTTCAGCAGAAGTGGCCTTCCAGTCCCCGGAAAGTAACCCAGGCATCCATGGTCACCATGATCTCCACATCAAAGGTGTCATCAACAGCAGAGCTGGTGGGAGACTAAAACTGCATTGGCGAGTTATGTGATCTCCAAAATTAGCAAATTTGAAGCCAACTAAAATCACACGATCCTAGAGGGTTTGTTTAGGTTTTCCCTTGGTAACCCATGCACACAGCCTCTAAGTGCCTTCACACTCAGGCTCCAGCTAGAGTCAGGTCCCCAGATGTCACCCAGGCCAATTTTGTGAGTCCAAAGGACATGTAATCAGGCCTCACAGGAGAGGCTCCTAGCTGTGGGTGTCACCTGTCTGATCACAAGGTGGTCCAGACTCACAAGAAACCCTCTAAGCCTGGCAGACTTATAAATAAATACGCCATTCCTGGGCTTGCCAGAGATGGGCTCCCAGAAATGGTTTCACGTGGTATTTTATATTTGGTTAGAGCTGAGGATGCCCACACTGACTTCCGCCCACACCCTCCCATTCTCCAGAGGCGAAGGGTCCATTCTGAGGTCTGCCGGATGTCTCTACTAACCAGGGTCCTTCTCCTCTGAGGCTCCCACACAAAACCCCACACAGCTCAAGGCACAGTTGTCAGCGCTGCCACCTTCTGGGTTTTTGGAGCCAGGTTGGTGAAGATGCAGGGCCCAGTCCTGTGCAGGAAGGCAGGTGGTTGTCCTCCACATGCACACTCTAACAACAGCCCATGCACTGAGCCAGGGCACCTGACAGGCTGCTGCCTGTGCCTCCTCATGATCCAGTCCCAGGATTGCTGAGCATGTGCTGGGTCAGAGCTGGGCTCCCTGAAATGCTCTTCTTCAATCTCTGTCATAGCTCCGTTCCCTTGTTCCTCATTCTGCTCTCTCCACCACAACTCCACACTCTGTTACACATGTGATCCTACAGAAGGAACATCTGCATCTTTTTCACACCAGCTGCAGAGCTCCTGAGAGGGCGCCAGGATCTGACGTCTCTGGACCAGTGCTGATCCCTGCCCCGCAGCCCTGTCCACATACTGCACCTCTAGAGATGAGCAGGTGAGCAAAGGGCCAGTCTCAGCCATAACCAAAAGGCACAGCTCGCCCCTTGGGCTATGATGACTCACTTCAATGCTGCAGAAATGCAGCATTAAAGAGCTTATCCTGAGGAAATAACCAGGGAAAGGGGAAAGGGCAGAGGGCAGGTTTGCCCACCCTAATGCTGCTTATAAAATGGGAACAGACTCAACCCATGTGCTCTTCAATAAGGCGCCGATGCCTCAGCTGTGTACATTTCCAGCGTGAAATTCCGGCCGGGGCTGAAAGGCCAATAGTGATCAGTGTATTCTGCCATAGACAGATGTACAGGACTCTGCCTAAGCAAACAAAAGAGGGAAGTTCAA